CACCGGCGCTCAGTCGAAGCCCCGGCCGACGCCAAAGGGACTGGTGGCGTCCACGGCCCCGGCGTCCACCTCCGTCGACCAGTGCAATCAGACCCAGTCGCAGCCGGACCCACAAAAGAAGCCGGAGCCAGAGGACGACCCCAACGAGGACTGGTGCGCTGTGTGTCAGAACGGCGGGGAGCTGCTCTGCTGTGACAAGTGCCCCAAAGTTTTCCACCTCTCCTGCCACATTCCGGCTCTGAATGAGTCGCCGAGGTGAGACACAGATCGGCTTTTATAAGAATCAAACTTTTTTATGAACCGTCACCTTTAGCTATGTCGCAGTTGAACACGTCAGCAATCTGACCAACAATTTTCATATGGTTTTGAAAAGTTTTTGCTTATAAAAATTTGAAAAGTGCTGCTTTTTTTTTTTCTATTCCACTCCACTGAGATAGTTTAAGGGTAAATCTGTACCAGATTTGTATATTTTGTAGACACTCAAAAGTTTCTTTGTTAAATAGGAGAGCATCAATAGCTGCGTTCCCATTGCAAATGTGCGCAAAACTTTGTCCGCTAATGTCAAAAAGCACAATTTTGCAATAGGGGTGTTTCCATTAAATAAGAAACGCAATTAAAATCACACTTGAATATTTTCAATAAGTAATTGAAAAACAAGCTGCGGCATCATCATCCAACTACTTTGTGTCGTCTTCTTTGTGGTTTCCTCCACTAGAGACATCTGGTTATTTTGTGATACAAAAATACATTAATTTCAATACATCAGAAAAAACGTCTCATGTTGGCATAAAAGCTTTTGCATTTTGCAAAAGGTGTTGGTGTCTGGTTGTTTTTCTGCGTTCATCCAGCAACTGAAAACAATCGTAATTCCATTGAAACATCAGTAAAAATGTGTTAGTTATTTTTGTGGTGAAAGACTCCTTGTTTGAGCACACTCCGTTTGCAGCACGCTTTTTAGCATCTATGATCTTTCTGTGCCTTTCCTTCTCTTCAGTGGTGAGTGGTTTTGCTCGTTCTGCCGGGACCCAGAGTCACCAGAGATGGAGTACGACTGTGACAGAGGCAGCGGGCCGGGCTCTGAAAACTTCTCCTCCGTGGACAAAAGGGTATTTTTAAACCCTCTACTACTTCCATTTTCACTCTATTTTAACACTGCTGCTCACTTCTTCCTATCAATACATTAATGAAGAATATACTCTTTTAGGATAAATAAAGGAGTGTCTCTTGACTGTGATGTTTTTCCTGATTCTAGAAATGCGAGCGGCTGCTGCTACGCTTGTTCAGTAACGACTTCAGCACAGACTTCCAGCACCCTGCGTCTCCATCGGTAACCCGCCGCAGTCGATATTCATGCAGTTTATTTGTACTAATTATTGTTTGTGAACGAACGGATTCTGTCTACATTATGAGAAATCGCGGTCATTCTGTCCAGTCAACCTTTCATTGATTCATCTGTTCATCCAACTGTCCAACCAACCATGGGTAGATGTTTGTCCATTCATCCATTTGTCCAACCAAACTACCAACCATCCGTCCATTTGTTTGTTTGTTAATCCATTTGTTTTTCCATCTAACCAACCATCTTTCTGTCTGTCATTTTTTTCTATTTACTACATCAGGTCTTATTTATTATGTTAGTTATATTTATGTTAGGGCGATTTTCATTTGTCCAACCAATCAACTCTCCATCCTTCCAGTTAACCCTTCATTTATCCATTAGTTCATCCAGCCAACCCTTCATCTGTCTGTCCGTCTAACCATTCGTCCCACCTTTTGTTCATCCATTCAAGTGCAGCAGACCTGAGATGTGCTTCTTTTTTAGGAAACTCGGCGGTACAAGGAGCTAATAAAGACGCCGATGGATTTGACGATGGTGAAGAAAAAACTGCAGTCAAAGGAGGACGAGTGCTACGGAAGCCCGGAGGAGTTCGTTTCCGACGTCAGGCTCATATTTTTCAACTGTGCCAAGTACTACAAGGTGGGTCTCCCTTCCAGTCCTCTGTTGCAAAAAATGTAATGTTACTTCCGGTCTCGTGTTTTTTTTTTTTTTTTTTTCTTCCGTCAACCTTAAAGTTGCCCTCTACCTTTTCCAAGGCGACATCCGAGATTGGGAGTGCCGGCTTGTACCTGGAGGATTACTTCGAGGAGCAGCTGAAGCTCGTCTACCCAGACAAGGTCTTCCCAGGGGGGAGAGAGGAGCAGATGATCCCTCCTTTAGAGGACGAGATCGAAGAAGAGGAGGAGCAGCCGATGGAGCAAAGCGCCGCCGCAGCGGATGACAAGAAACCACAAAGCCCTGCAGGAGACACAGACGGCGGAATGGTTCCTAAGGAAGAGCCGATGGCTCCGGCAGAGAGCGAGAACCTGGAGGAAAGCAGCGAAATGACTCAAAAGGAGACAGAGGAAGCGACTGCAGACATAGAGGGAGGCGTTCCTCCTGCAGAAGAGGCGAAGCCAGATGAGAGCATCGACGGTAAGCAGGCGGAAAGCTGCCCAGCTTCTGACATGGAACCTAAAGATGGCGGCGAGGACGAGAAGGCTCAGCTGCCTGCAGGCGAAGCCGAGGACACACCGGACACTTCGGAGAATCCAGCCTCGGAGCAACAGGGATAGACAGACTCCCCAGATTCCAGGAGGATAGATCAGAGACCAGAGAAGTCTTCCAGAGTCATGGCCGTGGCGTTAGCCGCCATTAGATGCAATTAGATCCTTTTTTATAACTCCAAGCAGTTATAAAGTTTGAAGCAGAGTCGCTGCCGCCACTGCTGCGTGGGACAGACTCTTAACGGCGGTTTATGCTGTTGGTGCACAAGAAAGACAGTAAACAAGCTCTTTGTTTCTTTCTTATGTACGACGACTGTGAAAAGCCACACACACGTGAGCTTCTCTGTGGATCGCGCTTAAGTTATGAATTACTGTAAATACGTCTTAATAATGAAAGCACAGTTTCTGAAGTAGGAAAAAAAAACGCCAAATTTGGACTTTCAATGCATGAAATATGCTCTTGATATCAATAACCCATGCATTCTAGCCATTTTGGTTCAAGATTAACTCTTCTGCGGTAGTATTTTATTTTTATTTATAGTATTAAAGCACAAGTATAGGATGGCTAAATACTGTAGATTTTTGTACAATGTGGCATATGTACAATATACATATATATAAACACAAATGGCAACATTTGTTGCCATTTGTGTTTACCAGCAATGTTTGTTGCTGGTGAAGAGCTAAACAGGCGCTTTCATTGGAGGAGCATAATCTCTCATTATGAATGTTTTTTTTTTTTAGAACAATTCAAACTTTATTTAAGTGCGTTCAATGACTGGGACGAAACCCTTCAAGAAGAAATGAATTGATTCAGGTTTTTATTTTTTTTTGTTAACAAGAGGATGAAAAAACTTTTGTTTCATATCTAGCCAAAGTAAAAATCTGAAAATGGCATCGGTTACATTTATATTAAATAATTATTGGGTCTCTTTTGATTTTGTTATATAAAAAAAGTTACCTTAGAGCTGAACAAAATTGGGGGAAAAAAGCTGATTGGTTGTTTCCCTTCACTCTGTGCTGCCAGTTTCCCAAACTTGCAGCAATCCTAGATGTTGTTTGCTCGACTGTTATCGCTCCCAACTTAAGAGATCTGATATTCAATGCCTCAGTCAGAGTTTTCCGACTTTTGACCTTGATTGCTTCATTTTGATTAGATGGAGAGACTGCTCACCGCCAGCAAAATAAATTTTGGCTCATGTATGAAAGCGGAGTCGTTTAGAGAGCAAAGGTTTACACGGCCACCTTACTGCTAAAGGTCGCTACGTGATGCCATTAATCTACAACAAAATCAATGTTGAGCATAAAAAGACTTCCTGAGTTTATAATATTTGTAATAAAACCAGATTACATGACGTACAACTGACTTTTGCATCACAAATTCATATGTACCATCTTCATTTTTGTCTCGGTTTCTAAATATGTTCAGTGTATGAGCGGATAATCCAGGGCACAGAACTAGCAATAGCATATAATGATGTTAATAATTTGATAGTGAATTATTTTTGCTATCAAAATTTGGCGTTTGTTCATTTCCCTTTAAGATTTATTTTCGGATGATGTCACTTGACAAACTGCAGCAACCTTTATACTGCAGACACTTTTCTGCACTTGGTCCTATCGAAATAAAGCCTACATACAACTGAAAGTCAAAGTTTTATATTTGCAATATTTTTTATGGGTTTAAAAGAACAATATGAAGAGTTGTGGAATATGTTGCTGAAATGGAGCATTACACATTTATAGCAAAAGAGGTAAACGAAGCTTTTTTTTATTTACCTGTTCACATGGAAATGATGACGGTATTGTGCTATTGGTGAAATCTGTGTTAAAATACATAAACATACCATTAGCAATTTCAGTACATGTTTTAAAATGTTATCATTACGACACATTTATAGTCGTAATTTCACCTTTAAAATAATTATTTATGACACGGTGTCGAATTATTGTGAATTCGAAATAATGACAATCTCATAATTTAGACCAATTTCAACGATATTGAGGTCAAAATTCTAACTTTAAAAGCCAGACTTATGACATTGTGTTGCATTATTATGACTGAAAGTCATAATAAAATGGTGACTTTGGAAGTAGAAATTATGGTTTTGTTTCTCAAATTTAAGAGGTGATATGTTTTAATCGATTTTTTTCTTTCAGCTGGTGGAAACGGGCTTCCGTAGATTTGTCAATTTTTGACTAACTTAGTCGTTTCACTTAAAAATCCCATCAAAACGGTCGAAAGTGTGACATGAATGAGTGAGTTAGTGTTATGAATACTTTTGGAAGGCACTGTGATGTTATTGTTGCTGGTTTCAGGTTATCTCGCTGGTGACGTCTTTGACACACTTATTATCGGCCGTGTTTTAATCATGGCAGCAGCTCCGTGGAGCCCTCCCACTCCGCCGTACAGGCCCGCTCCGCGACGCTTCAGGCTCGTCTCTCGCCACCTTCAGGATAATTGTCCGACTCTAAATATCGGCTCATCCACCGGGCGCTGGCTGGGTTCAAACTGGGCCTGATGGCGCACGGGATTGTAATTTTACTTTCCCTCTGCGCGGCTTTGACGGGGATTGGTAAGGAAGCAAATTAGAGTCGGCAACTTTAAATTTCGTACCGCATTAAAACCTTTACAGTCATCGTCATTCCTGCTTTATAGAGAGCATGTTTACTTCTGTGCATGAGTGCTGTGAGGCTGGAAGGGTGATAGCCCTGAGGAAGCAAGACTGCACGGCGCTTCCACGTTTCAGCTCCCACATTTGCAGGTAAGAAACACCTGGACGCTTCTTGTGACGTAAAGGGATTGCTGGAAAAAGCAAAGCATACCTTCAGGAATGCATATTGAATCTCCTAGTGTAGGTCCCAAGAGGCCTCTAGTGAGCATGTCCCCAAAGGGCCCTGGTCTGTTGTGTATGCGTGTGCATTGTGATTGCTTTTAATATAACAAAGCAAAACTAAGAGGACTGCTTCAAGGGCTGCCGACAGGAGGTTCTACATAATTTCATACGATGATTAAATATTTGCTGTGAGGTTTATTGTGGTATGTGTGGTTTATTCTTTAGCTTTCATAGCTGAATTGGATTTGAACAAACCTGAATTTCATGCAGGATAATCCCCGGACATAAAAGATTGTAAACTAAAACGGCCAAATGCAGTCCAGGCTCAAAATACCCTTAAATCTAATCAGAAGTTACAACTTGGATGCCAGTTTTGAAATCATCAGTCATCAATGGGATATTATAACTATCTCCAACAATAAGACAAGATGGTAAAAAAAAAAAATACAGGTTGTTTAGGTTGTGTTCAGTTTGGAAGTTGTATTTGCCAAATTCCTTATTGGAAATACACCAAGACGGTGATTCCTTCTTGGAAAGTAGGAAGCCTCTCAATCCTGAGTCCAATATTCAATATGGCTGCTGCACATGTAAAGCACATAGAAGTGGGATGTGAAAACTACTTTGTCCTTCTGACCTTTTGCATGTCCTTGAATTGGTGTTATGAAAAGCACTGTACTGTCTCTATTTGGAACACATAAAATATTCAGCATTAGCTTGTGTTGCCAATAGTTAGCATTAATGATTAGCTTCTGTCTGATTTTACTCCCAGAGCCAAGCTAAGTTGAATACAGTTGACTTCTTTTCTAACTTCCCATAGCAGTGAGCTGTACTACTGTTGTAAGACTCCTAACTTCTGGCTGTGATTTTATTATTTTGTCCTCCTTTATACCATATTTGTTATTTAAAAGAAATCCTTTTTACTGCCTCTTACGTAATGGTTAGTTACTCTGATTTTCAGCCACCAGAAGCTCCTCACTTCCTGCACAGAAGGAAATGACTAAAATAGTGTTTTACTTGACGTTGTGCTTTACTTTTTTAAACTGCAGTCTCACATTTAACTCTATATTTCTCAGCATTGCCCAAGAGCACTGCTGTCGCGCTTTAGCGAGAGAGCGAGCCTGTGACACTGGCATTAAGGTGGCCCGTGGTCACGGGGTCTGCGAGCGGCCCCTCTTCACAGGATCCAACTGGGAAGCGCAAATTTCACAGGTGTGCTCTCCTCCACGCCTCCCAACACAAGCGGCATGTTGGAAAACACACACTTTGTTCTCTTAAACACACGTTTTGTTTCCTTAAACTTCCTTCTCTTGCTTAGTCATGCTGCGACTGCTGCACAATGGGTTTGAAAACAGACAGCATGGGCTTCGGCTGTGACTTTCAGGACCTGCAGCTGGACAAGCAATGTTCTAATGCGGCTAAAGTCTGCTGTCAGAAACCCAAGGACATCACTCCGTCTGCTAAAGGTGAAAGGTCAAAGCAATCTTGTGCTGCAGGCGCTGATTATTCGCCGCTTATCGGTATTATCTTACGTCACCGTCTGGCTGTGCAACAGTAGGGTTTCGACATCAACAAACATTGGGTGTTTGAACACAATCCACTGTCACACTGCAAAAACATAAAATTAATTTTGGTGTAGTTTCTAGTGCAAATATGTTAATATACTTGAAATAAGACAAAACTAAGTTACAAATAACTTTTTAGCAAGATACAGGAGCGTGTTTTAAGTAAAAATATTCCTTAGTACTGATTAAAACATGCTAGCTATAAGTGAAACAAGAGATTTTTCTCATTGATTTAGTTAAGATGTCCCTATATGTTGCTGAAAAGTGACTTGTAAGTTTTTTTAAATTTTATTTCAAGTGCGAGAAGAAAATAATTACTTGGTAAGTTCATTCCTTCTATTTTGTCAACAAAGGTAACACTCATTCATTATGAGTCTGTGCTCTATATCCTTTGACATTCAATACGACTTTTTTTTTCTTCATTTTACTCATGTTTTTGTCTCAGGACAAGAAGAGCTTAAAGTGTTGATCTCCAGGCCTCCAGACGAACCAAATACCTGCAGAGGTTTGGCACCTTCGGTTTATTTTATTTTTCTTCTGCTATTGTTTTGGTTGCAGTCGTAGTCTCTTTATGGTTCCATTCTATTTCTTAGATTTTAAAGTCACATGTATTGGGATAAAATAAGACACTCAGTCCTTGCCAGGTCTTTAAATTAAACACAAACTTAGAAAAAAGCCCAACAAAATCAAAGTCCTTCTTTGTTTCAATTTGAAGCAATCAAAGAAACTGACGTTATCAGTTCCTCTCGTTGTTGGGGATAGTGGGGTCGATTGAATGTCTCACCGGCAATTGCTCTTGCTTTTCTATTCAGAGCTTTTTTAAAGTCAACTGTTGCCCTTTAGGTACTACAACAATTGCTTTTTTTAATTATTATTTTAAAACATAATTTTTGATCAGATCAGAAATCAGAAAGTCATGCCCTGAATACTAAAAATACCTAATTCCAAAAGCCAGTTATCAGATAAACATTTTAGGAAACTGTAAGGAAAAAAATAAATTGCTTGTTGTGGTCTGAACTGTGAAACGGGGTCTTTAAACGACACATAAAGTGGTGTGTGTGTATCTCTTGACACATTTCTCCCGTTTCAGAGCTTAACTGCTCTCAGCTGTGTGTAGGTAACGGAAGATGCGTCTGCAACGACGGCTTCCGACTGCAAAGGGACGGAGTGACGTGTGAGGGTAAGTCATCTTAAACGCACAAAAGTCGAGAGCCGTAAAACACAAAATCTTACCAAGTACCTTTGGTCTAGTTTCTTGTGCGAATACTTAGTATGCTAGAAGTAAGACAAAACTAACTCACAAGTAACTTTTGAGCAATATATAGGCACTTTTTTTTATGCCAATGGAAAATGTACTGGATATAAGTGAAATAATCTGCCAGTGGAAAAAGGGATTTTTCGTTAAAATATTTTGTTCCACTGACAAGTAATTTCACTCACAGCTGGTACTTTTTCGTCAATGTCATGGACTTTAAACAAACTCCTAGATCTTCTTGAAAAGTCACTTGTAAGTTACTTCAAGTTTGTTTGCTTTGCTTTGTTTTTTCGTAATGCAAACGAAAGGGTTTTTACGCCGTTTCTGTTTGGGTTTTGTTTGTTTTTCGCTCGTCTTTGAGCCTTTCGCTAAAGTCCTGATTAGATTCCTGACGTTCGTCTCCTCAGATATTAATGAGTGTCTCGCCGACCGCCACAACTGCAGCGCCGAGCAGGTTTGCGTGAACACAGACGGGTCGTTTCACTGTCAGCTCAGCTGCCACCCGGGATTCACAATCACAGACGACATCGCTTGCAAAGGTAAGCAGCCTCGTAGATTAAAGTCTTCGTGGAAGAATTAAAAATAGCAAGATTTCTGTTGTGTATGATACACTAGGTCAAATAAAAATAATATTCAAGCAGATAACTGGAGGTAGCACGTGGCAACGTTTATTTTCGAACGGGGAACTTCGTCTTCTTCTTTACAGGTCCAGCTCACATCTCTTGTGCACAGCAACAGCGCCACCAATGGCGATTAATTATATTGCTTTTATCTTCACATTACAAACAAACAGCCTCCAATACATAGGAGTATAATCATACCAAAAGTGTGTTAACAATCTTAAATCTAGAGGTTCATTCTTTTCTGCGTCTGGAACACCACAATTTCTATATATTTTATATACGATATATATATATATATATATATATATATATATATATATATATATTTTTTTTTTTTTTTTTTTTTTTTTTTTAAAAATTAGCGTGTGGGGGGGGGGGGCGCACA